GAATAATTTGAAGAGGATTGGTATTCGTTCTTCTTTACAGGTCTGGTAGAATTCAGCTGAGAATTTGTCTGGTCCTGGGCTTTTCTTTGTTGGTAGGYTTTGAATTGCTGCTTCAATCTCATTGCTTGATATTGGTCTATTTAAATTTTCTTTACCTTCATAGTCAAATTGGGTAGGTTGTATGTGTCTAGAAATTTGTCAATAACTTTGAGATTTTCCAATTTATTGGATTATACATTTCAAAATAGTTTCTAATGTTCCTTTTAATTTCAGTGATGTCTATGATGGTAGCTTGTTTTCATCTCTAATTCCATCCTTTTGGGCCTTCTCTTTCTTTTGATTAGTTGGCTAAGGGTTTGTCAATCATGTTTATCTTTCAAAGAGCTCACACTTTATTACACTGATCCTTTGTATTTTTTTATTCTCAATTGCATTAATTTCAGATCTGATCATAATTATTTCCTATCTTCTACTGATTTTGATATTTGTTCTTCCTTTTCTAGGGCCGTGAGGTATAACATTAAATTATTTGGGATTTTTTTTGTGTGTGTGTATGTGTGTGTGTGTGTGTGTGTTTTAATGTAGGCATTCAATGCTATAAGCTTTTTTCTCAGAATTGTCTAAATACTGTCCCGGAGATTTTGATACATTGTTTTTCTGTTTTCAATTGTTTCTAAGAATTTTTTTTATTTCTCCCCTGATTACTTCTATGATCCATTCCTCATTGGAGTGTTTTATTTAATCTCCAGGCATCAAAATGGTTTCTGCCAGGCTGGGTAGGGCATGTTTGCATTCCCAGCAGCTATGGAGGCTAAGACAGGAGGATCTCTTATTCAAAGCCAGCCTCAGCAAAAACGAGGTGCTAAGTAACTCAGTGAGACCCTGTCTCTAAATAAAATACAGAATAGAGCTAGAGATGTGACTCAGCACCCCTGAGTTCAATCCCCAGTACCCACCCTGCAAAAAAGATAGTTTATTTTTTATCTTGTTAATGGTTTCTAATTTCGTTCCATTATGATCTAACAAAGTTTTGAGGAATTATCTCTATGTATTCTTTTTTTTTTTTTAAGAAATAAGAAAAATTCTTAGGTGGCTGGGGTTGTGGCTYAGCGGTAGATCCCTCACCTCGCACAAGCGAGACCCTGGGTTCAATCCTCAGCACCACATAAAAATAAAACAAGTGAAATTAAAAAGAAAAGAAAAATTCTTAGAAACAACTGAATAGAAAAACAATGTATCAAAATCTCTGGAACAGTGTTAAGACAATTCTGAGAAAAAAGCATTGAATGCCTACATTAAAACACACACACACACACACACACACAAAAAAAAAAACAATTCCCAAATAACTTAATGTTATACCTCAAGGCCCTAGAAAAAGAAGAACAAATACTAAAATCAGTAGAAGACAGGAAATAATTATGATCAGATCTCAATATGTATTTTCTAAGACTTGTTTTGTACTATTGTACTAAAATATGGTCTATTTTAGAAAAGGTTCCATGTGCAGCTGAGAAGAAAGTGAATTTAGTTGTTTCTATAGATGTCTGTTAGTTGGGCACAATGGCACACGCTTGTAATCCCAACAAGTCTGACAGCCTCAGCAATTTAGGAGGCCATAAACAACTTAGCAAGACCCTGTCTCAAAATAAAAAATTAAGAGTTGGGGGATGTAGCTCAGTGATACAGTGCTCCTGCATTCAAGTAACTTTATAGAGTGTGTTGTGTGGGTGTATGTGTGTGTGTGTTATGTCCATTTGATTAATAGTATTGTATTTTTTTTTAGTTCTGAAGAGTCCTTAGTTGTTTATTTTTAATTGATTCACTATCTATTGGTGGATAACAGTGTTGAAATGATCCAGCATTGTTTTATTGGTATTTGTTATATGTTTTATATTGAGTAGGGTTTGTTTATGTATGTATGTGTTTGGAGAATAAATATTTACAATCATTATATCTTGTTGGATGATTCTCTTAACCAGTATAAAGTGAACTTCTTCATCTCTTCTGATTAATTTGGGCTTGAAGTCTACTTTGTCAGATATGAGAGTACCTACTCCTGCTTGCTTTCTGTCTCCATATGTGCAGTATCTTTTTCCATCCTTTCACCTTCAGCCTGTGGATGTCTTTGACTCTTTTTTTTTTTTTTTTTTTTAGGATGCAAAGTATTTTATTCTTAAACATCTAAAATTTGAAGACAAGATGCCTAGGTTAAATAATGAGGTTCCCAAAGCTGAGTGTGCTCACTTGGAGCTCCATTTTTCTGCTTGAAATACAAAAACAACCCCCAAAGCTCCCTCCCAGGTGGAACACAAGTGCCCCATGGCCTGTGACTGGGTGAGCTCACGAGTCTCAGTTGGCGACATCCCTTTTTCTCCTTGGCAAGGGCGTGGAAAGCTCGACGCAGGGTCCTGGTCTACTCGGCCGACCCGCTCCCGAATGTCTCCTGGGAGGCGTACACCATGTACAGGAAGCCGTCCTCGTCCTTCTCCCTCT